TTTTATTTGCATCCCACAGGGCCGAGCACCTGCCCTGCTGCACACGCTTGCATTAGGAAAGCGTTTGAATGATGGTATCCGGGGGACAAAGAAAAGAAATTGTCTTGCATGGATGATATTTGGGGAACTGCAGCTACAGAAGAAGAGGTACAAGAGAGAAGTAACTGAGTTTTAAAATTAATAGACCAAATGGAATTTTAAGTCAATTTGAATATGGCACAATTAACGCAACCCCAGCTTAACTGCTTGGAAATTGGAAGTGGTGAAACAAGAAGATGGATAGATGCTAGAAAGGTTAAGCTTTCTGTGAAATAAAGACTCACTAATCAGTCCCAACTCTGAAGTGCTGGGAGGATTTAATTTCTTATGGCAGCATATCTATAACCGGGCTGGTATCTTATGGCAGTGTATCTATCTTTGCTAGTACCAAGCAGAGCATCATGGAAATAACAGAAAAAGAATCAGGAAGGGTACTGGAGCAAAAAGCAAGATGATGCTTTATGCAATGTGAAAGAAGCAGCTTGAAAAGTTCCTGCACTACAATTCCCAGTCAATGGAAAATTATTTGTAGTAAGAATTTCAACAAAGGCTGATTCTGTGGGAGCCGTGCTGTTACAGAAAAATAGCAAAGGAAAATGGATACCAGTAGCATATGAGTCCTCGCCCTCTCGAGTGTCTGGACCAAAATTTCCCTGGCCATGAGAAAGCCTAGCTAGAGGCAGCCTGGGCTGTGATGGTCTTTGAGGCATTCCCCCTTGATAGTCCAGTTGTACCCCAGTCTGCTCATACTCTGCTCTTAAGCACAAAGAGAAGAAATGGATATTAGTATAGATATCCTTTTAAAGGAAACTGGTAATAAACCAAAGTATTGTGCACTTACAGGAGTGCTAAATTTGAACAAGGAGGATAAATGATCCAAGACACTGCTATTAGTGGAATGAGGGAAGAAACAGGGGGGAAACTAGAGAAAGGATCATGCCAAGGAGCTTACAGGCTGTCAGTAAAAGAGTAACCTCTCTACATAATATCTCTCCACAGATAGCTACTATGCTGATAATAGAGTAAAATACTGGATGCCTGACAGGGAGCAAGGCAATGGCAAACACATAATGGGACACCCATGAAGAAAAGAGGAGGTTTATTTTATACTCTTAGAGGGACAGTGGGAATAAAATATATGTAGAGGATGTTAACGTACATAGGAAGAAAACTGAGAAACAATTTAGTAGACAAGTAAATAAATTTGCTCGGTTTGTTTACTGCAACCCCAACCAGGAATTAGCTGAAAGAAGACAGAGTGGGTAATGTGGCCAGCTGAATGAGAGCAAGTTATCTTAGACTGTTGTAATATGTTCCATAAAGGAGTACAGGGTACTCTGAAAAAAGTGCAAAAAATTTATATTTGGCCCCAAATGAAACAAGAAATAGAAGACATAAGTAAAAACTGTGTAAAGTGTGCAATGATGCAGAAGTGGCCTAGTAAAAGAAAGATGACAACTCTACTGCATTGGCTTCATCAAGGACCTTGGCACATACTGCAAAGGCATCATCCAGATAAACTATCACAAACTAAAGAAGGGTATCAGTATCTCTTTGTCACCATGAATAACTTCCCAGGATGGGCTGAAGCTCTTACAAATGGAATACAGCCACTGGAACTGTAAAAATGCTGTTAAAGAAAATAGGTATGGAACAGCAGCTGAGATAGGATGAGATGAAGAGCTAGGGGGGTTGTAAGTGAAGTAACTCAAGCCTTAATGAGCAACCTGGGGATCAAGCAAGGACAGCATATACCCGGCCACCTGCAATCCTCCAGACTGGTAGAAAGGAATGAGTCAGACTATTAAAAATAGACTAAAGAAGATCGTAGGACAATATCCAAAATGACTGGCTGAAAAGTTAACATCAACATTAGTAACTTTAAGAAGCAGTGACAGGTTAGGGACTGTTTTACAGCTCCACTGTATTTTGTTTGGATAGCCTGTTCGTCGGTGTCCAAGACCCCAAAATATTAGGGCAGGATAAAGGAGAAAACAAAGCTTGGGCAGGAGAAGCAACATAAGAAAAATAGGTAAAATGAGAAAGGAAGAACCCAATTCATATATGGCTTATGAAATAAGGGGCCAAGTAATGTATTTGAAATCAGATAAAAAGAAACAAGCCTTAGGGACAAGGTGGAAGGGGACCTATTATGTTACTAATAGGTTAAGTCCTTTAAGATATTAAATAGATGAGGGCAATAGTAAATACAAACGGTTTCATGTTTCTCAGATGTCCCCCTAAGGGGGCAAAAAAATTCTGGAATCTGTCATGAATTTGTCAAGAACACAGACACAGAAAATGCCCTAAAGAGGAACTTCTGGCGCCTGTTCAGCCTGAGCCCCCGCACTCACAGCACACCCCAGCGCAACCTCATCTCTCAGAAGCAAGGGGGTGCAGCCCGCGTGGTGTTTACCTCCCGCGTGGCTGCAGTAGATCTGTTTACATGCTTGCACACGCTGGTCTATGCTTTCAGTTTTGCTTATTTTCTATTTTCGTCGGGCAACAGATTTTACTACAGCTCCTCAAACAAGCAACAGCTGACAGAGTCACGGAGCAGCAATGCAAACTCGAGGCAAGGCGGAGGAGTTGAGGGCTCCTGCAGTTGCAAAGATTTTTAACTTGACTTTTCACTCCATATTTAGAGCTTCAGTCTTTTTATAAATCGTATTAATTTCAGACATTTAACAAGGCAGATAATGGCTATGAAGTGATTTGGAGAACTAGAGAACCTTCAGACCTTTATGGGTTTTGAGGCGAGACCAGAAAGCGAATGCCTCCACAGAGACTCCCAGCTCAGTCCTGATCAGGAGCCTGTCAGCGCTGCAGGGATTGCAGCATCCTTGCTGCACTCGTGGCCAGTAACCAAGGAGCTGGAGGCTGCCAAGGAAGGGGAGGAACAGCGACCTGAGGGCCAGTAACATGGCATTGCTACTGCTAACAAAGCCATAAGCTGTGCATTAGCTCTACAGGCTTCATTGTTACATCTTCCCTGTTCGGAGCTTTATTTTCTTTATTTTAATCTGTTTTACTGGATTAAAAGTAAGACTTTCATGGCTAGATAGCTAACCTATGACCTAACCTGCTTTAGCCTTGCATAGCTTGCTCCAGCTCCTTAATCTAATAGTAATAACTAAAGACCTCAAATTAAAAATTGTTACTGCTCTTAAGGGAGCCTTGAAAGTTACAGCTCAAGATCTGGATCCACCCAGATTGGGAAATCATAGCTGAAGCTTTGGAAAAAGTGCTCTAAAATTACAATAACTGAATGAACTCAGTAGTTTTATTCATTTACGGGACAATCCTCCAAGGAGGAACAACTTGAGGAGAAGCAGCTAGCCCTAGTGTTGATTTCAGTAACAGCCTTTTAAGCAATTTAGGAGAGGGGTCAAATAAGAAAGGAAACAGAAAGGAGGGATTGAAGCAGGTGGGAGACTAAGTGCTGTCAGTAGCTAAGCAGTTAAAATTTGAGAGAACTGGGGGTTAAGCATATATATGTGAAGGTCTGAAATGGGATAAAGTGTAATGGATTGTAAACTGTTATGACTGAGCCACAGTAGAAGTAACAAGGGAGAGTGATATTGGAGGATACTTAACATCTAATAGCCCAAACTTAACTGCTAAGCCTTGCATTTCTTTAAAGAGGAAATTATAAAAATCAGATATAGTGCATAAGGATGGTAAAAGTCTATACAGAAATGTTATAACTGGTCATGCAAACAACTGTGTAATTCTCCCCTTTGCTGTCCCCCACAGCTGTTTAGCTGCCTCCACGCATCCCAAGCCCAGTTCTGATACTGCACAGCTGCATAACCTTGGGCCAAACTTCTGAGCAAACCGCTAAGTTATGAGACAGCCTGCAAGGAGATAAGAAGGGCAAAAGCAGGGGGAGGAAAACTGAGAGCTTTGGGTTAGATCAAGCCATTAATATCTACAGTGAAAGCTGGATGAAACTGCATTTGAACATCCTAACCAGATGTTAGCTTCCTCAGAAATGGCCAGTAGCATAAGTCACACACCCGAGCTACATCAGATGACAGTGATATTGGGATATCTAAGAGCAAGACGATGCTGTACCTGTGTAATGGACTGGAAAAGTGAAAGTGTGTGACATCCTTGCAAGGACGAGCAAACTCAGGACACCTATGGCCCCACTCAGTCTGCAATAACCAATAAACTCGAGCCACCAAGAGGTTGCTAAGGCTGCCCAGGGCCACTAGTAGGAACATCAATAGCTGTGACTGCTCTCTGCTGTGAAGGATGGCAGCTGGGCTCTTGAGCACACCCTCCTGTGGGAGCTTTTAAAAGAGGGCTTGAAGGGGGTGCCCATGCCCTGGTCTGGGGTGGTCAGAGCTTTCTCTGTAGTGCTTGTGAGGATGCAGGTAGATCAGGGCTGTTTTGTGCCAGACAGGCAACTCCTGGCTTAGGTCAGTTTAGAGGTTCAGGGGTGTTACAATGCTTGTTGCAGCCTGGTGGGATGGTGTAGCCCAGGGGTTCATGCCTAAGCATCCCCCTGTGTGAGAAGCTGAGGGGAGGCTGGGACCTGAAATTTCAAACCTCATAGGGTAGGTTCAGGCAGCGAGTTTCTAGAACAGCTCTGCATTTCCCAATTGTATGAGGCTGTAAGAGGCAGGAGATGGTGGGGACTGTGTGTCCCTCAAGAAGTTGCTATAGGAGTTGCTTTGGGGCTAAAAAAGCAGATTAATCTCTCAAAGTGCAAAAAAATAGATTTTTTTTTCTCTCACGCCTTTTTTTTTTTTTTTTTTTTTTTAGGTGAAGAAGCTTTTTTCTTCTTCCTTACACTCAGGAGCTTAGCACACAGCTCTTGGCTTCAACTTTACCGTTTGGCCATGCTTTTGGTCTGTGCCAAGCCTCTTCCAGCAGTCAACAGACAGTTACCCAAAAAGCCAGCAGGCCTTGGGTCCATCCCTCTGCCCTCCTTCGAGCTGGCCCTACATATAAAAGTAGAAAGCTGGTTGGGTGGCGTGGTGACAGGCAGTGGTGCAAATGTTTGGAGAAGACAGGTAGGAATTATCAGCTGGGAACTAGGCAAGGGCAGAGCAGGCAGTTTTGAGGGAAAAGAGGAAGGAAAGAGCCCAGTTCTCATATTAACTGATAACATTGAGCGCGTTAATCAGTGAGTGAAGCTCATCCCTTACGCTTTCCAGGGAGTGACAGATCGTCTGAGGGCTGTCCAGGAGCTCAATGCTGTGGGTGTAGGGCTCATATTTCACCGAGAAGGGACGCTTGATGTGTGCCGCATAGCTCCTGCAAGGAAAGGGTGCAGAGGGCTTGATACAAGAAATGAATTCTTAGTCTCCCCCTACCCAGCACCATTTACCTACACCACAACAGGTTAATGCCTCCTTTAGGCAGAGTTTCTAGGTTAGCACAAAAGCTCTGGTTTCCCACTGTTCCAGCTCCACAGGGCTATAGCAGTAGTTAAGATTCCTCCTGTTCAGCAAGGAAGACCTTGAGTTTGACTGCAGGTTTCCAGGGGCTGAACACATGGACTTGCATCAAACTGGAGACTACACTGAACTGATCACCTCTGTGGCCATTGACAGGCATCCTCGACTTCAGTTTATTTTTTTCTTTTTCAAAATGCCAAGGAGATTTAGAAGCTAATTGCAGGAAAAACCCATGGTATTATAGTATTATATTCCTAAATCCTTTCTGACATTCATTTATCGACTAATCTCTGCTTGGGGAGGGAGAGACTAGCTGCAAGCTGTATAAAGGATAGATTTGAGAGACCGGCATGGGCAAAAGGATGGGAATAGCATCACCAGAGCCATGTGCTTTAGCAAAGTCGCACCACTATACCCAAAGCCAACTGGAGACAAGGTGTCATTGATGAGACTGACTTTACCAGATACCTCTCAAGAGCAAGACCTTATTGCTACCTTTTTAATGGAGAAGCGCATAGTCAAGTGAAAACAAATCGAGGGTAAGGTTGGTTATGTTCATCTCAACACTAGGATTTGTACACTTGGCAAAGCAGGGTCTTTTTTTCTTTGGTGGCTGTGTAAACAGGGAGATGGGAGTCTAGGTATTCACGGCTAGAGTCTCATGCTGGAAAGATGCGGGGACAAACAACACTAGCTAGAGGCTCGTGCCCGTCTGTGGCTGGGGCTTGGCGCCGCGTCGGCATTGCTTGGCTTAGGGTACCCTCTTGCGGCAGCCGCGGGCTGGCTCTGCGCAGGGTGCGCCTCCGGCTGGTACCGCGTGTCGGGGGAAGCCCTGTCCCGGGCTATTTCTGGGGAAAAACACCAGGCAGGGTCAGGCTGGCACTTGCGGTTAGCTGCCATGCCTGCAGGGACTACAAAACCAAGCGGAGGGGTTTTCTGCATACTCACGTTGTCCACCTCCCGAAAGATACGGCTTATCTCGGTTCTACCAGGCAAGAGCCCCCTCATCTTGCTTATTAATGCTATTGGCCGCTGTGATGAGCGGTAGCACAGCTGCTGATGGTTAGGAACGTGCCCTCCAACACAGCTGTGTCCACCTGACCCCTTTCTGCAGCATGCAAGTCCCACATGGGTGCCTGGAAGGGCACTGAGGGTGTGTCCACCCTGGAAAACTAGTGGGAAGTTTTCTTTTTGGGGAAAGCAGCTTTTCTTGAGGACATTGATAATCAGGTCCATGGTGACAGCTGCCAGTAATGCAAAAAATATAGATGTTTTAATGTGTGTGGTCACTGAGCTTTTCACAGAGGATCATTAACAGTGCCTGTCACTGTCAAAACCCTCTAGCCTAATCTCTCCTGTGTTTGTGGTGTAGTTTTCCTTTTTAAATGCAAGGAAACGACTCATTAGGCAACAGTTGGGGGAGTTTAAAGCAGCCCAGTGTGTGTGAGAGGATGGGCTCCTCAGGTGCTTGCTTTGGAGCAGCAAGGTCATATGAACGGTGTATATGAGGGTAATAAAGGCAGAAGCTGAAATATAGCAGTCATCACCACGTTATTTATATGAAATACCCCACTTTCTGGAACTGCAAAGTCATTTATATTGTGTAATATTTTGTCTCATCCTATCCCTTTCCTAAGCTAACATAAAATGGTATAGGCAAAGTTTTCTTCTGTCAGTCAAATATTAAAGGGCTGAGCTTTCCTCCTGTGGACAATTCTGGGTATGGCCAAGAAAATGCCCTTATGAACAGATGTCAGTGGGTAAAACTGACCCTGTCCATCCTTTATGCAGTCCTATGGGATGAGGAAACCAAATTACACTGGTGGGATGCTCTCTGGGGTCTGCTAACCCATGTTAATCAGCCTAGGAGGCAAAAGTTCCTTTTTTTTCCATGGATAAATCTACCATGTCAAACAAATATTTTTATTTTGTGTACAAGCTCCTAACGACATCTGGGTTTTCTGGCAGTTGGATGATAAATGGAGAAGTCACCCAGCAGCTGCTCAGAAAGACAAACACCTTTCTGCATACTAAATTCAGAGAATGCCACTGTTTTGGGCAGCTCTTCACCCCTCTCATGAAACTTTCACCCAGACGGCAAACTTCTACATGACACAGAAGCCTGTGTTTCAGAAGGACACATGCTAGTGAGATGCTCCCATGAAGGACAGCTGGTACCTGACCTGTATTGCTTGGCCCTTCTGCAGCAAGGAAGCAGAGTGGGTCCTGGTCTGGTTTGGGTCTCCAATTTCTGGACCACCAGCCCTTTGTTATGTTGCTTAGCCTCCCCTGGGAACAGGAGGTGCTCTGTAACTCCGTCCTATGAGAACTAGGCAGATGAGCTAGATTTGTCCCTGCTTTTGCTCCCTCAGTCTTTACTCCAAGAGTGCCTCCCACTCCATCCCACTCCCCCACACCCACACCCTGGAGTCCAGCATGTTTTGAGGGGCTCTTGGGTGAATCCTAGGGAATGAAGTTGGGCCTTGTAGGAACTGGAGAATCACTTTACTTTGAAAGACCTGACAACAGTTTCCAGAGTACTTCTAAGACCTTGAACTGAAAGCAGCCATGGTGTCAAGCCCTTTTTCAATATATTATAGCTTCATTTCCTTCTGTTTGGGTCTCTCTCCCTGCCCAGCCTACCTCAGTTTACTTTTGGCATCGCTGAAGCTCTCAGACACAAAATATACGGGCTGATAGTTCTGGTCCTGGTAGGGCTGAACGGCAGCAGCATCAGGGTCAAAGTCCCGCACCTCTGGTTCATCTGACAAGGAGTGCTATGGACACAGCAGAAACATGCCAGCATGAAATTAAGGGGATCAGAGAGCACATATGTGATAGACAGAGGTGGAGAACAGATTGGGTAAAGTCATTGGAGCTGTGCAGAGGAAGAAGGTTTTTTGCTGTATAGGGTCTAGTGCAGAGAGACAAATTATGCTGGGACTTACTATGAGCTCCCCATAAGAAGAGAGGAGCCCGGCTCCGTAGGCTTTGACTATCCCGTTCTGTCTGCAGAGCCCAAACTCCACCGTAAACCAGTAAAGCTGTGAAAGGAGAAAGAAAAATATGTAGGGGACACAGCTCCTCATCTTCATCTCCCCATCACTTCTGAGTCCTTCCATCACAGCCAGAGTCTGGGGTTGTTTAAATGAATGGGCACCTGGCACTTTGTCCCTTCTCCTTACCCTGCACCCGTTGCTGTGAGAGCAAAGTGCTAAACTAAGTCGCTGCCACACAGGGCCAGGTGGAAATTGTATTCCTGGGCTCTTCCCCTGTGTGCTCGGCTGCTGTGCAGTGCTGCCGCCCGGTGCCCTTGGAGCAGGACAGGTCACCTTGCGGAGGGAGAGCCAAAGGAAGCAGATGTCATTTAATCCTATCCCAAAGAGTTCCAGCAGTGCTGTCGTTAGAAATATGATGCTTGATGGTACTCTGGTGCCCAAGAAAACTGGGTTAATGTGCAAGCGAGTTGTTTAACTGATATCTGCTCTGCACTGTCATCATAAAAGAGCAGGGCTGGGGCAGCTTGGGTAGGGGGTCTGAACCTGGGAATCTGGGGACACCAGGCTGGACCAGTCCCCTTGATATCCCAGAAGTGCTGCTGGAGAGGTCAGGGCCCCCATCCAGCAAAAAGGAAAACTTACTGTTGCAAGTTTCTCAATTTCTTCATCCGTTGCACCCAGAGATGCCAGCCCAATGTCCTGGGAAGAGAAGGGAAGGGGTACGTGTCAGGACAGATTTGGTCTGAGGGTCTTACATGTGGATTGCTCTGGTTTATTGCCTTGAGACAACAGATATTGTTGTCCTGCACTACCATGCATCCACTGGGGCTTTATCATGCTCAGACTAACATAGCTTTTCTGCAGTCTGATCTTTTTACTCTGTATTAGGGTTCTCAGTCCATCACTAGGGCTCCTGAACATTGTGTTTAATAGAAATAAATACTAGAACGAGAAAGTTTTAGCTGGTAAGGCCGGGGTGAGTTTCGGTTCCCACCTCATGCCCTGCCCTACTGGGGGTGAGGAAGCAGACAACCACCTTACCTGAGAGAACTGGGCAAACGTCTTGTCAGCCAGCATTGGGACGTGCCCCAGAAGCTCATGACAGCAATCCCTGCCCATGCCCAGGGGAAAGGAGGAAAATGCGATCAGCAGCAGACAGAGTTTGTCCATTAAGGAGAAAGGTAAATTGCTGGCCAGGTGGGATATCTGGGAAGGGGAGGCTGTCAGGGCCAGGCGATACTCACGGCTCAGGGGAGTGCATGGGCGAGGACGCGTGGCGGATGTACTGCGTGCACTGGAAGACACGGAAGGCCAGGCTGGCGAGGAAGTCCCGCGCCGACAGCAAGCCAGCTACCGGCCGGAGCTGGAAGCCGGTCCTCTCTGAAACAGCGCATACCGTCTGTGGGGGTGCATGGCCCACGGGCTGTGCTGGTGTCCAGTGTTCCCAGCATGGACAGCAAAAGCATCAGTGCTGGAACTAAAGGGCTCTGCTTTGCCAAGCCTAATCTTTTTGCTCTTACTAGGGAGCAATGTCTGCTCTTTTAGGTGCTCACTGAGATAATTTGACTACAGGCTTGACATTTAATTGCAGCTCACTGTTCAGCTGCAGTCCCCACAGCCTGGAGTCTACCTCTGTTCTCTGTGGGCAATGCACAAGCCTCCACAAGCTCTCCTCCCAAATCTCAGCTCACATGCTCCTCCTTCTGGTTTGGGTTTCCCAGCTGTAGCTGCCATCACCAGGCTGGAGCCCTGACAGACCCTGGACCTGGGTCTCCCAGGCTTGTACCCACCTTTCAGGAAGCGGGAGACCTCCTCCAGCTGAGGGATGTTGTTCTCGTTGTAGCCACAGAATTTCTCCAGTAGATTGAAAGCTTCAAGGTACTCCTTGCAGGCATGGGTTGGGTACAGGCTCTTCAAGGTGCTGTACACCTCCTTCCTGCAGGATGAGAGGTGGCAGACACCCAGTGGCTTGATGTGTCTAGTTCTCTCCTTTCCTCTAGTGATATACTATAAAGGCCCCCTATGTTTCTTGTCCTTTTGTCTTCACCACTGAGTCTGTCTGTGTGCATTGATAGGGGTATGTAAACATACAGACACACATTCAAATGGGTGTGCTGGGTCAGCAGTGGTATCTGCACAGACACATTTCTGACCTTGAAGGTCAGAAGACTGTATAAAAGGTATTAACTGGAATTAAAATGTCCCCTGTAGGCTAGCTCCTGAAGTTGTACTACGAGGACAGTCAATATAAGCAAGAGATGACCTTGTTTAGGAGCTTGTGTACTCAGCTTGTGTGAGCTGGCCTTGTTTTCAGAGCCACTCCTGCGGCAGGGTTCCTGGAAATAATCATGTTCAAAGGAAGTGTTCTCCTAAGTGAGGCCAGTGAGACACCATGCAGATATTCACCATGGGCCTCATACTTCTTTCTGCAGCTATGATAACGTCCCTTTGTTTGGAGGCTGCTATTAAACCAGGTCCCCTTAGAGAAGTGGAAGTCCAAATTATCTATGTTGGTCTCTGGGGAGGCTCCTTTGGAGGAAAATCCTAGGGGCTGCGGTATGAAAGTGCTCTCAGTGCAGACCCAAGAGAAGAGGAGACAGTGCAGACCCAAGAGAGGAGGAGACAGAGCATCACTGTTTTGGAGGTAGCTTGGTCTCCTGAATACAGTCCCTACCATAAAATGCCATGCAATAAGTTACTGATTTTTATAACAAGCTATTAACTAGAATGCTTGAACTCCCAATTTATTTCTCAAGAGGTCATATCATACCCTAACCATTTAGGTTTTGATTCCCAACTTCTAGTGGTGAAGCAAATAGAGGTCACAGATTAAATCAGCGCTCACCAGGTAGCTATCTCCTCCGCCGTGTACTCCACATGAGGGATTGGGTCCCCGCTGCAAGGTAAACGCACTGTTATTGACAGCAGCAGAGCACAAGCCAGGCTCCTTTACTCTTTGAGAAGGAAGCACTTTGGAGAAGCTTTGCATGATGCTGATCAATCTTCTTTAAACCAAACAAGGGAGTGACAGGAAAGACAAAGCCTTAGTACTAGGTCATCTGTACAAGTGCAACAAATACATAGACACAGAGAGGAGCATTAGTCTAGCCAGAGGTTATAAATGAAACGAACAAAGGATGAGCAAAAGCTTAG